ACAATGAGAGAAACACAAAATTCTGAAAATCACACTTAGACCATTAGAGAAACACACAAATCCTGAATTTACAGGGAATTTAAATGTGGCCTCTGCACTCCTTCAGCCTTATCTCTTGACTTCTCCCATTGCCTACACTTTCCCCAGAATTTTCCATATCGAAATGGTCCTTCCTACACTCAGTACCTGGATCCTTTTCAGGCTATAAGATGCAGCTCAGGCATCTGGGAAGAAGTCTGTGAACTCCGAGGCTTGGCTTGCTGTTGTCAATCCTTGAGGAGCCGTGTGTGTGTGTGTGTGTGTGTTTGGGGGGATTGAATTCAGAGTGTGTACACTGAGCTACATTCCCAGCTCACTCATGTGCGCTCTCTCTCTCTCTCTCTCTCTCTCTCTCTCTCTCTCTCTCTCTCTCTCCTTCTCTCTCTCATATTTTATTTTGAGGCAGAGTTTCACTATGTTGCTAAACTGCTGGGACTGGGCTTGAACTTGCTATCCTCCTGCCTCAGACTCCCAGAGTGCTAGGATTACAGGCAAGGATCATGCCCAGCAGGGAGTGCTTGAGAAGCTCTGAGGGAGAGAAAGTTCTAAGGAGAGAAGGAGACATGTATATGGGTTCAGATTTGCATGCCCACCCACTTCCATTGCTTCAACTTGAATGGAGGTGAGAGATTGGGGAAGAAGCCTTTAGGAAAGTTTTATTGGCTTCATTTCAATCCTCTTTTTATCTTTGCAGTGCTGGCAATTGAACCCAGAGCCTCACATACTCTAGGCACTGAACTAGACCCCCAGCCCATCCTTTTATAGTAACTCTCAGAGTCTGTAAGCCAGAGTAAATGTCTGTCTCAGAAATGTTATTTTTAGTGGGCTGTGATTTGCTTTTTGCTTCTCATTTCTATTTCAAGAGTTAAGAGTCAACACTGGACATTAGAGAAGCCATCGGATAGGCCCCAGTGGAAACCATGGATATCTCATTAAGTCCTTCTATTTGCAGGTCTATCTGTCAAGGAGGAAATAACATCAACTAGTTAAATATTAGTGGGACTCACTCATTTATTTAATCATGCATTCACTCATTTATTCACTCCCTCTGTACTGACAAGTTTTTCTTGGTTACAAGTGAAAAAACTCAAGAGAAAGGTGAGGAGAGAGGAGAGGGGAAGGGGCTGAAAAGAATTAAAATGTGTTATGTACATGTGCCAACTCCCCACAAGGAATGTGATCATTATGTAGTATTACAAACATGTAAAACATATAGAAATGAAAATTGAAAAAGAGAAAAGGAATAAGTCAGAGAAAGGAAATTTATTGACTCATATAGCAGGAAAGCCCAATAATTCAACTGGCTTTCCACACTGGGGACTTAAATTATGTCCCTGAGTGCATCTCTTCTTTCCCTCCTATTCCTCTTTTTCTTCTCCTTCCTTTCTTCCATTTCCTCTTTCTCACTTTTCCTTCTTTCCTTCTCTCACCTCTCATTTTTCCATCTTTAGTCAGGCTTTCCCTTTATGGCAAGTAAAAGAGGATGCAGTATACTTGGAAAAACCTCCTAACAGCTTAGCAACTCAGGGCAGAAAGGCAGTCTACTGTTGGCATGGGTCAGAAGGTCCCAGGGAGGACTCTGGTCTGGCTTGTGTCACATTTCCTTGACTGACACCAACTTCTGTGGCTAGAAGTTTGGAATAGTCTGATCGGCTGGATCTGAGACACATGCCCTTGGTGGAGAGTGTGCAGGGTCAAGTTCAGCCCTATTTCTTCACAGGAAATGTATATACTTTATGAAAGAGAGATTCTGTTTTCAGAAGATGAGAAAAATCCTACTGATGAAACATAACCAACAAATTCCTCCAACCTATTCCATCCATCCATCTTCCCACCCACCCATCTATTCATCTACTATCTGCCTATCCATTCATCTATCCATCTATCCACCCATCCATCCATTCATCCATCCATACATACATCCACCCATGGATCTATTTATCCATTTGTGTATCTAACAAGCATTTCTTTGGAGATTTTTCTATGCCAGGAACTGTAGGGGCCTTGTGTATAGGTCATCTATAAAACAGCTAAAGGGCAGAATAAGGGGTTGGCATAAGGCTTAGCTCCAAGTAGATTCTCAGTAAGTGTTGTATGAATTAATAGATGACTCTGAGCCTTAAGCTTGGGACACCAGGACACTGATGGTGTCCTCAACAGGAAGTGAGCTCGGATAGAGAATGTGGCTCTAGGGTGAGGAGGACCCTGCTGGGCAGCTGTTTACATATATGTCTCCCCATAACTGGTGGCACCACCACTGCAGCAGTGAGGCAGTCAAGGATAGGAATTCTCTGCTCTGTGATGCCAGCCTCAAGAGGCTGGCGGCAGAGAAAATTATTCTAAGCCATTGAATGAAAACATACTTTGGAATGTGATGAGGGTCAGCAACGAGGGGTAGCAGGATTTAAATGATGACACCATATTCCAGGCTGCTTTTGGAAGCCCTAGCTAATGGGCAGAGTGGAGGGATCAGGAGGACAAGAGCACATCAGCCAAGGCACTAATCGGCCAGCGATTTCGTTCCCCAACCTGATGGGATTCTCCCAGGAACCACAAAGCCACTCTGCCCTGCTGTCTTTTTTGGCTATGCCCACCAGCTTCTGGATTGCATCAGCAGACATTGTGTGTGTGCACTAATGATGGGAAATCTCCTGGTAAGGAGAGATGGACTTTGCACTAAGGGTACCCACCACCTCAATTGCCACCCACCATGAAATACACGTTAGGTCCATGCAAGCCACTGGCTGGGTTGGGTGGGAGCTCCAGTTCGTGAAAGGACAGGATTTTTTTTGGTACCAGGGATCAAACTCAGGCCCTTGTGCTTGCGAGGCAGGTGGTGCCACCACTGAGCTACATCCCCAGCCGGGAAAGGACAGGATTTTGATAAGCATTCTCAATTTTGGGGCATTTCTTCATTTGTTCAATTGCTAATTCACTTACACCTTTCTGCCTTCCTTGGGAGGCCTATCAGGACCATTCCACCCAGTTCCCTCCTTAGAGCCACCTTCCCTTCTGACAGCCAGCACCTGGAGCTCTTTTCAAGGGGACTATTTGGGGAATTTACATCCTCCCCAGGATGACTTTCAAATCAGGGACTGAGGAACATAGAAATCTTAAAACCCCAGATCCCTGGCCTCTAATCAGGAAAATTCAGAGGTGTAGCTTATAATCCAGGGTCTCCACAAGACCAGACTGGAAGCCTCTGAGTGATTTTGTCTGAAATCATGTCCTTTCCCAGGAGGCTGGAATGAGGCCTAAGTGGGTGAGACCCACAGGTTTAAGGAGACACTGACTCTCAGGTTCCCACCCAGCCTGCTGCCATTTGGCACCTGGGTACTTCACTTGTTCCCTAGCCCTGGCCCTGCTGCTTCTCCTTCTCTTCCCTATCTACTTTCTCTGCATTTCTGTGGGTTCCCCAGGAGCATTTCTATAATAAACCATGTGTTCATGAATCGCCATCTCAGCGTCTGCTTAGGGAAATCTGACTGAAAAACACTGGCTTGTTCTGGAAACTGTTCTTTATGTCCCTAAAAGAACAAAACAGGGCTTCTGCCACTCTCCTGGCCCACCGGCACCCCCAGGCTCACAGTGTGATGGGAAAACATGGTTTTGGGTCCTCTATATGCAAAGAACTGTGCCACCTCTGGGCATCATCTCAGGAAGGTAGAGGTGCCCCCTAGCGCTCTCATGATGGCCTTGACTGCTTTGCTCCTCAGAGCTGCCCAAGACTGCTGCTTGGAAGGGAATCCACAGCATATGGAAAATTAAATGCACTTTAAAAAATAATTAGCTTTGTACAGTCAATTGCTGCAGACATCCATGGATTTGCAAGCTGTAAAGGCAAAGAGATTTGCTCTTAATTAACTTATCTTATTGTACTTGGATTTGAGGTTTAGTGCGATCCTAGCTTCAGGGGGGACACTTGCCTCTTGTCATTGCAGCGCTTTGGCATAGATTTAAGACAAGAGGCTGGGGTACTCAGGGGCAGCAATATGGAAAAACCATGGAGCCAACAAAGGGATTTTGGACTTGGAGCGAGTCCCAGCGCAACCCCCTCAGCACCATATACCCTGTAGTTAGTTGAGTAGTGTCCTGTCCAAAAGCCACGTCTATCTGCAACCTCAAAAGGGATCATTTTTGGAAATAGGGTCTTTGCAAATGTGATGAGCTAAAGATTTAGAGATGAAATCATCCTGGGTTTAGGGTGCACTCTGAATCTAATCATTAGTGTTCTTGTAAGAAGAGGAGAGGATACACACAGAGAGACAGGAAAGAAGGCTATATGACCGCTGAGGCAGAGATGGGAAGGATGTGCCTGCATGCCAAGAAAAGCTAAGGATGGCCAGGAGCCACCAGAAACTAGGGAGAGGCAAGGAAGAGCTTTCCTCTAGGGGAAACAGAGGGAGCAGCCCCTACTGACATCAGAATTTTGGACTTCTACCTTCAGAACCATGAGAGAATAAATGTCTGTTGCCAGTCACCGAGTTTGTGGTAATTGGTTACAGCAGCACCAGCAAACCTCATGTTTCTTAAGAGGGTTACAGAAAGGCCCTCAATTGAGGTTACAAACCAGGGAGCATGGAAGTTAGAGCCATGAATTAAAGTCAAGAAATTGCAAAAACAGTGGTAACTATCTAGCAATCCTCAATGTGGTCCCTCCCAACCTCTCACCAAATCCTTGTGATGGGGCGGAAGGGAGGGAGGGAGGGAGGGAGGGAGAGAGGGAGAGAGAGAGAGAGAGAACGAATCTGTATAAGTGTGGGAAACTAAGATAAGCTCTCCACTGGAGACCAGAATCTAGGAGGAACCAATTCAAGACTGATGATACAAGCAGAGTGGGAAAAAGCTACCTAGGTGTCGCAAGTCTCTTTTCTGTTGCTAATAACACAATATCACAGGCTAGGTAAGTTATAAAGAAGAAAGGTTTGAGCTGGAGATGTAGCTCAGTGACAGAGCACTTGCCTGGCATGCACAAGGCCTTGGGTTCAATCTCCAGCACTGCCACTACAGAAAAAGAAGAAAAAGAGTTTTATTTTAGTTCATGGTTCTGGTTCAAGGTCAAGGGGCTGCAATGCATAATATGTTGAAAACAGAGCACGTAAGAGAGCTAGCCAAACTGGCTTCTACAGCAAGTTTCCCTGTCAAGATAGCCCATTAATCCATTAACTATATGAATGGATTGGTTGGTCCATGAGGGTAGGGCACTAATCATCACTCAAATGTTCCACCTCTTAACATCTCATAATGGAGTTTAAATTTCAGCATGTGCGTCGGAGGGACAGACCATAGAACCGGGCTTAAGTATAAGGCAGTCTGTACTCTCTTTTCAGTTCAGGCTCAAGAGAGACTGCCAGAGAAGAGCCCCCACCCCCTTATGCTGCACTGGGAATGAACCCTAGGGTTTGGCACATGCTAGGCAAGCACTCTGCCACCAAGCTACACGCCAGCCCCAGAGAAGTGCTTTTCAAACTCGAATGCTCACAGCTCACCTGGGGACCTTGGCAGAAGGCAGATTCTGATTCAGTGGGTTTGGAAGTAGAGCTAAGAACCTACATTTCCCAGGAGATCCCAGTTGCTGCTGGTGCTGCAAGACCATGCCCTGAATAACAATGTTTTAGAATCCTTAGAATCAGGTGCTTGAAGAAGAAGGCCTTAGATGGCTTTGGTAGCAGGTGTAGGCACAGGTGGAAGTTCCAGTTCCTGCTGATGACATGGATATTTTCCAGGTGAAAGCTTGCTAGAATCTGGAGCCAAACTGAAGCTGTATTAGGCCAGTGATGGCAAACCTTTTAGAGCTTTCAATGATACAAACAGCCTGCTGCGGCTCACAAGCCGTAAGTTCGCCACCACTATGTTAGATTGTTTTGTATTCAGCGTCTACAGTATGAGATGACCCTTTGTGGAGTAGAATAATACTCTCCTGCCTCACCAACATCAGGCTGTGGCCCAGTGACCTGTTCTGGTCAGGGGAATGAGGGTGGTGTCACTTCAGGAAGACACCACCGCATGGGCCTTCCTGCTCTCCATTTTCTCTGCCCAGGCTGGCTCTGCCAGTGTTTAGCTGAAGATGCACCCTTCCACATTCCATCTGTAAGGCTGGGACTTCCCTTGGCATTGCCATGGTGAACACTGGTGGAGGCTGCATGGCTGAGAGAGAGGAGGGGTCTTGCTCACACCTATGTGCCTGGCAACTGTCAGTGTGGCCCAGCAACAGCTGTGCTCCTGACTCTCACAGCTGCGTCTTGAGTCTTCCAGCCCTTTCAGTGCAGCCTCACCAGGCTCCAGCAGGGTGGCCAGGAATCTGAGCAGCACCCCATCTCTGGGTGGCTGTCCCCAGCTCCGGGAGATGAGGCTCCGTTAACTTGACTTTTTTTCTCATGGAATTCAGGGTGGTCTTTGCCTCCTGCAGCTAGCTTTCTCAGTGTTTCTTCAATGTTCTCTCTGGACTTTTGGGTCACTAAAACAATTCTTGCACTAAATTCTCTCCTCTAAAGCAACAGCATTATTTCTGTGGTCCCAATGCAGTGTCCTGGATGGGAACTCTACTGGGAACAATGATGTGGGGCAGAGCCTGAGCCAAACTGCAGGGGACATGAGGTCTTTGTGAGAAATACACCTTGTGGCCTACAGAGATTTCTGGGGTCACTCTTTCATGGGGCATAATCTAGCCTGTCCTAACTGATAGGAAACCATAAAAGTCACCTTCAGTAGACAAAAAGCTACACCCAGAGCAAACCACACACTGACAACTTTACTAATACTCTAAAGTCTGGACTGATGTTGCTGTTTGAATTTGAGTGAAAGTGGAAAAAAAAACCCTCTGGGGTTTAAGAATGAATTTTTTTATTATAAAAAGAATTCTTGTAAATAAAGAAAAGACAAACAACCTCACAAAAACTGGACTAAGGAGCATACAGAAAATGTTCAATTTACTGGTAATCAAAAAACAATGTAATGTGATATTATTGTTACGGACAGAATTGTGCCCCCACCAGCACCAAAAAAAAGAAAAAATGATGTGTTGAAATATTAACCCCCAGCTTCCCCAGAATGTGACCTTACTTGGAAATGAGGGTCAGTATAGATGGAATTAGTTGAGAAGAGGTCAAAGTGAAGCAGAATAAACCCCTGGTCAAGTATGACAGTGTCCTGTAAGAAGATGGCCTCTCCTATACACCAGGCAAAGGCGTTAATCATGACATGGAGTTGGAGGACAAAAGACAAGAGGCCCAGTTATTCCCCTAACCCCAGGCAACAGCCAGAAAACCAATAGATGAGTCCTTCTTAAGCCATTAGGCTGTCCTCTGGCCTTTTAACTGACCACAGTCATGTGCAAAACCCTAGCGGAGATCAGTCAGGCAGGACCAGGCAGAACTACCCAGCTGAGCCAGAGAGGCAGAGCTAAACCAGCAATGGGTAAGACACTGCAATGAATGCTTGTTACACAGCAGAGACTAACTGACACACTTCTGGTACAAGTGAGTGAGAGTTCCTCCAGGAAATATCCCAGGATATGGTGCTGCTGGCTATGGAGTAGGAATGTTTTCAAGTCTACTAGAAATTGCCAAGTAGCTGTGGCTGAGCCAATTTATAGGCCCACCAGTGCTGTAGGCATGTTCCTCTTACATCAAACTCTTGGCAACACTTTACATTGTCAGATAGTTTGATTTTTGCCAATCTGGTATGTGCAAGAGAGTATCTCATTGTTGTTTTAACTTGCAATTCCCTGACGACAAGTGAAGCTGAGAATCTTTTCTGAAGTTTATTGATTGAACGAGGCTTTTGCAAAAGAAGCAACCTTAGTCAAATTTATACTTCTTCACCTTCTCAATCTGACATGCTCCCATATACTCTTTGAGATGCACATAAAGCTTCACTTCGGGAGAGTCCTTGCCAGCTCTTTGACCCACCTTTTCCTCTAAGACTCAGTGCAGAAATCCCCTCAACCAGGAAGCTTTTCCTGACTTGGGGCCCCCACACTGGGTCAGGTGCCCCCCAGTGCCCCAAGTCACTTCATTCTACTGGAGTTCCCACCTCATTGTGTGGTGATCATCCAATACTCCTTCTAGAGCAGGGTTATTCGGTAAATGTTTGTTGCATGGATGGATGAAACTCAAGCTCTACCTCTTAAAGCTTAGCTTCCCAGCCTCAGTTTCCTCACCTGTTAAATGAGAATGACACAGATCTTGAGAGTGGATATGAGCTTTAAATGAAGAAAAGAGTATGAGATACCTGACAAAGAGTAAGTGGTCAATAAATTGAAACAAGTAGTATTTAGAATAGGGAGATATCAATCTTTTTGGGTGATGGACCACAGGATTTAGAAAAATGGAACATTGACACCCACATGCACAGAATATTGTACACAATTTCAAGGACTTCACAGAAGCTCTGAAGCCATAGTCCCAAATTAAGAACCCAAAATTTAAAGATATTTATAAATGTTAATTATTTTATCAATGTGCCCTCTATCAGCAGCACCTAATAAATGTTTAATAAGAAGCTTCTGCCGAATGAGTTAATTTTGCAAATGGATCTGTTTCTCCTGAAATTCCTTAGCCAATGGCCATCTCAGCCCCTGGTCAGTCCTTCCGGGCCCCTTGCCTATCAGGAAAAAGGACAATGGAATGACCTTGGTTTCTTCGGACAAGCAGAAACAATGGCCCAAGGCCTTCTCCATGTGGCCAGCAAAGATTGCCACAGTCTCCCTGGACCATCCTTTCCAACCTTCTCACAGTTTGGTTAAAAAAAAAAAAAACAAACCCGCATTTTCTCCAACTCTGAAATCAGAACAATGCCATTCTGATGTGCAACTCCAATCTCCTTCCTGCTACAGCGCTTTTTAATTAGGCACCACAAAGCCCTGGAGATCACACTGCTCCCTTGTAATAGTGTGTTCCAGAAAATTACTGTCATCGAGTTGCATTAAGGGGAGGTTATTCAGCTGATTCATTAGGCTCGTTTCAACAACTCTGGGGCTGTTGTTATTTGTGGCCATTGTTGTTATTTACAGAATGAGAGAGGAACACATGTCCTTCTGGAAAGTTGCTCACAAGACAGACCCGTTCTCACAGAGAAGTTAGGATGGGAGAGGCTTTGATGCTGGTTGAGAATATATTCAGCTGAATTGGACTGAATTTGTATGTTGAAGTCTTAACCTCCGGAGTTTCAAAATGCAACCATATTTGGAGATAAGGTCTTTAAAGAAGCAATTAAGCTCAAATAAGTTTTAAGGGGAGCCTTAATCCCAATATGACTCATATGAAGAGGAAAAGTGGACACAGATGTGCATACAATCAGGTGAAGGCTGAATGAAGACATAGGGAGAAGGTGGCCATCTGCAAGCCAAGGAGAGAGGACCCAGGAGAACCCAACCCTGCCCACACCACAATCTCAGACCTGCAGTTTCCTGAGCTGTGAGAAGACAAGCACCCCCTTGTTTAAGCCACGCAGTCTTTGGTCCTGTGTTACAGTAGCCCTAGCCACTAAGAGGCACTATCTGTCAGATGAGTGCTGGGCACATGTGCTTGCACTTAATCTCCACATCACCATTGTATGGATGAGGACACAGAGCTAGAGGGATTAGTTGTTTGCTGAAGATCTTATGAGACAAGAGGCAGAACCAAGATTTGATCCCAGATACATCTGACTGTAATACCAGCCACACCTTGCCCAGCCAAGTCAGGCCATGGGGAGAGAAAAGGTAGCAACTGGCTGGAACGGATTTTAGAAATCTCATCCAACAAGAGCAGTCTATGGCTCACTGTGTCCTGGAGGCTCAGGTATATTTTCAGCAAGCTTTGGTGTCTATCACATTCTTCAAAGGCTGCCACACTCACTGAAGATCTTTTGCGAGTACAAGTGTGTCTATAAATCTTGGAGAGCTGTTGGAGAAAGTGCCTGATGCTTCTCCAGGAGAAAGCAGAACCTGCATCTGCAAACTGACGGTTGCTTTCAGAACACTATCAAATGGCTTGGCCCAGCATTCCATCTGCCATGATTCCACTCCCACCCACCTCCTCTCTGACCCTGTCTTCGTTCATGCTGTCCCTTCTGCCTAGTGACCTCTCTATCTTCCACACCTGGTGACCCTCACTCATTCAAGGGTCAACCTTCATGTGCACCCTCTTTCAGGAAGTCTTGGCCTCTCCTGGAAGAGTCAAAGTCTTCTTTCTCTGGGCTCTTGCTACACTTTGCAATCTTCTGTGTGACAGCAGGCCTGCAGATGACGACCTTGTACATTTTCCTTTCCTTCACTTTGGGCAGAATCTGTGAATTGCTCCTAACCAATAGACTATAGTAAAGGAGATAGGAGGTCACTGCTTTGATGAGGTTACTTTACATGGTGAAGATGATGGGGAGCAATTCCTATGATTGCATTCAGTGTTAGAAGGCACCGTCTTAGACTGGAGAGAGAAAGACTCTCTCGCTGGTTTTGAAGAAGTCCACCAACCTGTGCAGGCTACACTTCAAGGGTCTGTGAGTGGCTTCCTGGAACAGGGAACAGCTGCAACCAACAGCCAGCAAAAAGCTGAGGCCCTCAGTCATATCATCACCTGAGATGAATACTAGTATCGCCTGCATGAGTTTAGAAGTGCACCCTCTGCCAGTGAAGAGTTCAGATGAGAACACAGACCAGCTAATGCCTGGGTTGCAGTTTTGTGAGATCCTCGGCAGAGCAACCAGCTAAGCCAAGCCAGATTCCTGACTTGGGGAAGCTTTAATAAAACAAATGTGTATTGTTTAAGCCATTAAGTGAATAACAATTTGTTAGACAGCAATAGATAACTAATATACCCCATTACAGCACATAGCCAGAATTATTTATGTTATTCTTGACTAGATGAGATCTGTTAGAGTAAGGACTGGAGTTCAGCTCTTTCAGCCTCACTCAGTGCTCAGCACATAGTAGGCACTCGATAAATGAAAAAAAAAAAAAAAGAATGTGATTTTAAGATTCCACCTGGCTTTTTAAAAACAAAACTATGACCCTAGGATGTTGAAACTGCACTTGCTGTTACCTTCAATGAAGGTCAATGAGAATATCAAATTCCCGAGGAATAAAAAAGAATGCAGAGAGCAAGCATTCTTCTGTAACGGTTACAGGTTCTTTGACACAGTTTGCCAAGTGTTGGCCACACTGGGCCCTGTAAATGTAATAACAATGTCTGCCGAGTGACTTTGAAGATGGTCAAAGTCAAAGGCAAAAATCACAAAACCGGTTGAAAGGCAGCTAGGATCATTAGCTGTTATTTGAAACCTGAGGCAAAGAGACATTAAGAGCCTGGAACCAGTCAGAAGAAGAGTCATCAGTCAGCCATGGATCCTGGGACAGAATTCCAAATCTGCATCAGCCAAGAACCCCTAGAAAACTCTCCATGCCCCCTCAACTTGTCCTCCTCTTCTTCCCCTTCCCTCTACTCCTCTGCCATAGAGACAGAACCCTGATTCTGGGAGCTGGAAGGGCTGAAGCTCACCATCTCCAAGCCCTTCACTGATTGTACAAATGGAGAGACTGAGGCACAGAGAGAAAGGACTTGTCCAACAGGACACAGAGGGTCTCCAGAACAGCATTCATGCTCAGAATTCCCTGAAGACTGAAGTTAAAAATAAGACAAAACAAAAAGCTTCCTTGAGGATCAGTACAGTTATGAAGCAATTACTTAGTACAGAAGATTAGATACCTCACTATTGAAAAAAACAGGAGTTTGATGAGAGCTATATCAGTAAGCAAAGCTAAGGAATGATTATTTTTTATAGCCAGTGCATTGCTGCCCCCGTGTACAGTTTCTATGGTCCCAGGCACTGTGACGTTTTCCATGTGCTATCTGTGAGCTTTCCAACCACCTCTTTTTATATTCCTTTCTTAGCTCTCCTCTATATAGGTGTAGAAATCGAGGCTCGGAAGGATGATGCAATTTCTCCAAGGTTACATAACCAGGAATTTTTTCACCTAGTCTGTCTGCAGTACTGACCACGGCCCTGTGATGCCAAAGTGAGTCAGGGGCTGAGGGATGAGAAAGGGATGTCACCCAGAGAGGATTGCCTGGGACTCTCACTTGGCAGCTCCTAGTGCTGCACCCTGCCACTCGTGGCCACATCTGACCCACGCAATGTGACCAGTCCTGGCTTTCAGCTCCAGGATGGGAGGGACCATGGGGGTCTTGCTCCTACTGAATCCCCGAATATTGTCCGACAGAGGAGAGGAGCTAAGTAGCCTCTGAATAATGAATGAGTGACCAGAGGGAGTACATGAGTGGGTGCCCCAGTTAACCATGCTGATGTGTGCCTGGCAAGGATGTTTTCACTAAGGACTTCTCTAATTTGAACCCAGCTGGTGTTGGAGTGAGTGCCCTAGTGCAACCTATACATAATCCCCTGATTAAACCAGCTCTTCCAGACTTCGTAACATGGGGATTATAGCACAGCAGGCCTGATAAGTTCACTTCCACTGCTTTGCCTCTTTACAGCCCACAAATTGGCTCCCTGTGATTTATTTTTGCTATCATGATAGTGTGCTATTTGCCCCAAAGCCATGTAAGAGAAATCAGCATCAATTCCATCTGTCTTATTACAAAGTGCAATGAGAATACAGACTTTGGGGAAATCACTCATAGCCCAGACACTCAGTTTCCTCACCTGTAAAGTGGGAGTAGTAATAGTATCTGTTTCAAATGAAATGATGCCTGCAAAGTGCATAGTCTTCTGGCAGTTTTCAATACATTTTCCTTCTAGCTGCTATGAAAGAGCCTGAGACAGACGCTGCTGGCTACAGGGGCACTGGGCAAGATAGCAGTCTTCTCTGGCTCCTGATTGTTCTGTCTGTAACACAAAGGCCAGAAAAGGAGGGGGATAAGGAATCACTCGACAAATAATTACTGAGCATCTCCCATGTGCCTGTCCTTGGGCTGAGCACCAGACACAGAGATAAAGAAGTCATGGCCCCTTTCCAACCATGGACTCTGATGTACTAAAAGCTTTAACTTAGATGGATGCCAAACATTACAGGAGATCATAGAATGTGCCAGGCATAGTGGTAAACATTATGTATATGTGAGCAGAAGCAACATTCACAATAATGCACATGGCAGCACAACTGATCCGATTTTGTAGGTAAGGGAATTCAGGTGAAAAATGTCCCTGTGATTTTCCCAGGGTCACAAAGATAACAGCAGAAGGATTTGAACTTAGAGATCTACTGTGCTCTAACACTCTTCTTAAGCACACATCACGTGATTCTCTATGACCACAAAACAGACTCTGCAGATTACAGCCAGGCCAAGATAAATACCTGTATCTCTCTTCTTCTCCTGATGTTTTTGTCCTCTCTCTTTTTCTTGCCTCTCTCTTATCTCTCTGCATTTCCATCAATATTGTCTGCATTATCTACCAGCCATAAAACGTCTCTTTCTCTTTTCTTTGCTGATATCATCCATTCCCACTGACATTACAGGAAGAGACAGGCTGTGGTTGTGGAGCAAAAGTGATAACTCCAGTTGCTAATGTCCATTCTGCAGGGTTTCCCAAGCTGGAAAAGGCTCCTCACAATGCCTGGCACCAGATAGCTTTGAGCCTCCTCCTCTTCCTCCTGTGGCCAGGCTGAGAACCTCAGGGGTCTCCAAATCCTCCCCATCACCTCTTCTCTCGATGATGTTTTCTTTACTAAACCCCTGCTCATTTCTTCCACTGCAAAATGTCAGCTCACCAGCCAGGAATCATTAGTATGTGGCTTGTTTTTAACCTCTGAGTTCCCAGCCCAACTTTCTAGAGAAAATATGGTCCTCAATCCGTCCCAGTTGGCTTGTCGGTATAGTTCAGTGTCTCTGAATCAAACATTTGTGAGACTACACAGCACAATAGTTGAGAATCAGAGGTCTGGGGGGCCAGACTCTCCGGGTTCAAACCCCAAGTTTTCCTTTAACTACCTCTGTAACCTTGGGTATAGTTGCTTCTCTTCATCTCTGCCTCTTCTCTGCATTATCAGGAAGATGATGACAGTGGTGGTGGTGGTGATGATGATGATGATGATGGTGATGATATCTTCCTTATTGGGCAGTGGAAAGATTGAGTGAGATAAAATGCAGGTCTTTCAAACAGTGGTAATCAATAAACCTTACCTATATTTTTCTATATGTCCCATGGGAAATGTATCTCAAATTAAATTAATCTCTATCACTTTCTAAGGATACATTCCAGTGGATAAGAGGAAAGGAGTGAAGCTCCAAATGAGTGTGAAATAGAAAAGGGCTTTTTAAGATTGCCATAAAAAAAAGTGGAGGAAATAGCCAGCAACTTTATGATACCCCATGATGGCAACACGATTTCACTTACTGCACAGAACCTGAAACATGCAGGCTGCAGCTGCTCTCCAGGAAAACAGGAGACAGGGAAGGTGTAGAAACCTATTTCACAGAGGAGAGGTGAGGGCACTTGGTGTGGGCTACACAGCTGGCTAAAGGGAAGCTCAAAGACTGGAATAATGGCCCGCCTGATAGCCAGTGCGCAACTCAATATGTTACCTCTTGGTGAAAACAAACACCTCAAAGACAACAAACAAAAAGCCATCTAGGCACAAAGCACTTCTAACACTTGCAAGTTGCGCTAAGCACAAAGCACAATTTACTCTTCTTTCCTCTCTGTTTCTTTACCTGCTACGGTGTGCTCAAGTTTCCAGAAACATCCATGGGGAAGGGCATTGACTGCCTTGAGTTGAGAAACAATACCAAACAATTAAAATGGCTTTGGTGAAGAAAGCCCAGGCCATGCAGTGCAGCCCCAGGAGAATACCGTGTTCCCTCTGAAGAGGGCAGTATGCAACCAAGGCCAGGCCATCCGCATACCCATAGTTCCCTCCTGGGTCCTACAGTCTTGTAGCCCACAGAAGCCCAGGCCGCTTGGGTTTCCAAGAGCTTATTTCTGAACGACAAACACATCTTCAGACATGAAATAGGATTCTTGAGGTTTGAGCACAGTTACACACTGCCTCTCATCTGAGGGTACCCAGTGCAAACTGATCCTGAGGTGGTTATGCAAGGTGGAAGGCAGAGTCCTAGTGCTCTCTTTTTCTGTGCTTTCGTACTAGTCTGCCCTCTCAAGCCGGCCTCTATAAAATTAAACAATAGCACAGCATCCCAGATGGTCTCTGCTGTTTGCAAAAGAAAGTGTTTCCTTTTCTACCAAGTCTGTGGGCAACCCAACTGCTGCTGGCTAAAGCAAAATACCTTTGAGAAAACATCCTTTGCAAGGAAATAAAATGTTGGGAATGGGGATCTCAGCTCCAGGGATGCATTTATCAAGCCAATCATAGTAATTATAATTAGAGCAGTAACTAAGTGAAAGCTAGGCATGAAATACATTTCCGGAAACTCTGAACTGCATACACGTAAGCCCTGTTTGGTGGGATTTTGATGAATGCCATTAATACATTTTGGGGATGGAGAAGATTAATTTTTTTCTTAAATATCTTGGTCTAGTTACACTAAAGACTTTAATTAGAGTTAAGAAGGTGGAGTCAGGATACGTAGTAGAAGGGTGGTCTAGCTGGTTACTGAAATTTGTTTTCATTAGACACCCTGTCAAATATGTTCACTGGATATGGCTAACCTAAATCTGTATTAGGGAAGTGAAGCAGAGAATTGAAGATCTTTAGGGAAAGTATAGCTGCAAATCTTAGCCTTGTTTGGTAATACACTACATCTACAGTGCTAAATAATAATCTTTCCTATCTTGTTCGGAGAAGGAAGTCCATTCTTAGGGGTTCTTCATTCAGGGGTGCCCTCTTCAATAAAATCCTTACCATATTCTCTTCCCATTATCTTGGGTTCGCTCAGTCATTGGAATTTTTATCCTGGTTTTATACTTTATTTATTTACATAATTTTTCTCCCTTGCTACACTGTGATCCCCTTGAACTCAGAGATTTTGTCTTTTTAACGTGCACCCGGTAGTGACCCAATACAGAATAGGTGCTTGGAAAATATTGACTGAAGAGTCATCAAATAAGAAAATGAATGAATAGTGAATGCTCCATCCTTCTGGGTGGAGCTCAAACCTACTCAAAGTAACACTCCTCCACCCCCCACCCCACCTCCAGGCAGGAGTCAGCTGGCTCCTCCGGTTTGGCAATCCCAGAACAGTTTCAGGAAAAATCCAGCTTTCTATAGAACAGCCTAGGAGAGGCAATGCAGGTTGGAAGGGGCGCCTGCAAGGTGTGTGAATATGGCGCTTTGGGCCTCCTTGGAAGGCCATCTTTGCATAACAGCACAGGGCTCTCCTTACATTGTGTTTGGGGAGTGGATGCCTTGGAGCCGCTTCCCATTGTGTTTTGAGATACGAAGGCAAAGGATACTATTTTCACAACCCACTTCCTATGTGTGTGTATAAATATTATATATAATTTTTGAGATAATTGTAGTCCTGCAGGCAGTTATAAGAAATGGTAAGTAGACATCCTGTTGACCTTTCACCCAGTTTCCCCCAATGTGGACAACATCACAACTAGAAAACTGACATTGGTACGATTGGTACGACCCACCCACTTTACTGAGACCTCATCTATTTTATATGCGCCCATTTTTGTGCGTGTGTGTGTGTGTGTGTGTGATGTATGCTTATGTGTGGTGTACCTTTGCATTTCTGAAAACGGCTTTCCTGGCCAGCGGAGATGGCCCATGCCTGGATCCAGTCCAGTCTGATCTACGGTGTGCAGGAGTTAGCTCCTGGAGGCACCTGCACGTGCTTGTATTCACTTCTTGCACACAGCAGGTGCCCAACAATCATCCACAGAAACACTTGAACGTGTATGTCGGCGCGTGTGCGCGGGGTGGGGGGCGCACAACGTTTTAAGGTAGAAAAATCAAGCATGAAGCGTCTGATATTTTAGAGGCAAAAAGCAAAAAGTTGGCTATTTTCCCCACATTTGTGAATTCGCTGGCTGGCTAATTGCTTCAAAGCAATTCTGGTCTTCAGACTCAGATCTCCGAACAGCGCAGTTCTTGAACCCTCTTTCCCCCCAACACCAGGGGCGGGAGAAGTAAGGGGGCTCGAAGGGCCCCCAGAGGTCCTCTTGCCCCTACCCCCCTACCCCCCCACACACACCCCTTTCTTCCCCAGGGCTGGACTGTTTCACCCCGTCTCCAGGCAACGGCCAGGCGCGCCAGGTGGGACGTCATTTCCTGAAGAGCCCGCAGGGGGAGGGGGCAGGAGCGGGGGAGGGGCGAGGGGCGGGGCCAAGGCTGGGCTGGCGCCGGCGCCGGCGTCGGAACTCGCTGGAAGACTCGGCTCCAGGTTGCTCAACAGTTCGCAAAGTCCGATCTCGCGGCGGCGCGGCTCCGTCTGCGCCCAGGTGGCGCAGGGGCGCGGGTACCCCGGGCTGCTACATCCCGGGGCTGCCGGGGACATGCTTCGCACCCCTGCCGGGCGATCGCTTAGCTCCACTGGCTGCGACTCGGGGGTTCTGTTACTATATCGATCCCCGCTCTAACTTCTGACTTTGGGGTCCCCCAGCCCTAGAGAAACGGGCGGCCCGGCTGGGGGAGCCCCGGGCGTGGTGTGACGGGGCGGTCCGCTTGGCTGCGCCCCGCACTCCGGCCGCCCGTCGTCTCTGCGCCTCCAGAATGTAACTGCTGCCTCCGCGCCCCCGGCCTCCAGCCGCAGTCTCCGCGCCCTCCGGGATCCAGCCACCAACACTGTCCCCCGGGATTCCGTTGTGATCTCCGCGACCTCAGGATTCCAGTCGCCGTCTCTTCGTCCCCCGGGTTCCAGTTTCGCGACTCTGCCTTCCCTGGACTCTGGCACCGGTTTCCGCGACCCACCAGGATCCAGCCACTGTTTCCGCCCCCCCCCAACCCATACTCCAGCCGTCGTCCCCGAGCGCCCCTAAACCAGACTCCTCCAGCCGCTGCGCCTGCCCGCGTCTCCAGGGACTCAGCGCCGTCGCCTCGTACCCCGCCGCCCAGGCTCCAGCGGTGACCGCCGCGCTCCCGGGATCCAGCTGTCGCGCCCGTGCCCGCGAGGGCAGCAGTATCCCGCGGCGCGCCCTGAGTCTGGCCGGACCTCTGCGGGGAGATGAACGCGCAGCTGGACGGCCTGTCGGTGAGCTCGTCCTCCACCGGCTCTCTGGGCTCGGGGGCCGCGGCCGGCGGCGGCGGGGGCGCAGGGCTGCGGCTGCTGTCTGCCAACGTGCGCCAGCTGCACCAGGCGCTGACCGCGCTGCTGAGCGAAGCCGAGCGGGAGCAGTTCACTCACTGCCTGAATGCATACCACGCGCGCCGCAACGTCTTCGACCTGGTGCGAACCCTGCGCGTCCTGCTGGACAGCCCGGTCAAGCGGCGCCTGCTGCCCATGCTGCGTCTGGTCATCCCGCGCTCGGATCAGCTGCTCTTCGACCAGTACACGGCCGAGGGCCTCTACCTGCCTGCCAACGCCCCCTACAGGCAGCTCTCCTGGGGCGGCCCCGACGGCGTGGGTCCGGGCGAGGTGCGTCTGGTGAGCTTGCGGCGCGCCAAGGCCCACGAGGGCCTGGGCTTCAGCATCCGCGGGGGATCGGAGCACGGCGTGGGCATCTACATTTCCCTGGTGGAGCCAGGTTCCCTGGCCGAGAAGGAAGGGCTGCGGGTCGGGGACCAGATTCTGCGTGTCAACGATAAATCCCTGGCCCGGGTGACACACGCGGAGGCTGTCAAGGTAGGGCAGTGCTTGGGACAAGAGCAGAGCAGGAGGCAGAGTGGCGCTCTCCTTCATTAACTCCTTGCTGTGTGTCCTTAGGCAAATCGCTTGGTCTCCCGTTTTTCCTAACTTGAATGTAGGAACATCTAGTTTGTAGGATAGGAGTCAGGTACTGAGAATATAGTGATGCCTTGGCTTTGTGGGCCCTCCAGGCTAGTGCAGGAGATAATATCATACTCAAGTCTGATTACAAAGTGTGAAAGGGGCTGTGGATTCTAGGAGCATTGAAAGAGATAGTCTCTGCTTGACACAGGGTGGCCTGCCACCTCCCCCCCCAGCCCCCCACCCCGTAATTCTCAACTTTGGAACAGTTCTGCTAGCCCTCAGGTGGCTTGAGGAGGTCTGGTGACCCTAGAGCTCTGGCCAGGCCAGTCTGTGTACCCTGGAAAGGCACTGGCCCTCTCAGAGCCTCTAGTCCTCCACTTGGAAACTGAGGCAACTGGACCAGGTAAGTGGCCCCTACCTAACCTTGGGGAAAGTGAGGCTCCTGCCTGATTGGTGAAAATAAATCCCTTGGCCCCCATGAGTATATCTGTGCTTTTTGTGTCTGTTAATTGAGAAAAATAACCTCATGAAAGCCAGCCTCTGGGGATTTAATCATGCTGTTTGAAGAAGTACATGGGTTTGCTAATCTCCTAGCCCAGGGCTGTTGAAAACTAGTTGGAGTGTGAGATGCATAGTGCTCGGTGCCTGGATGGATTCAAGGGCCTCTTGCAAGCATTCAGCTCCCATTTCCACCCGTTTGCAAGAAAGGAAGGGTTTTTAAGGGGAAGGAATGCCAGCACCAGCTGTGCTTCTGTAGTGCAGTGCTTCCCAGGGCTTTGGGCTGGCCTGTGACCCCAACACTGTCCCCCCATACTCCTGCCACCTCAGCCCAGGTGTTCTGAACGCCAGCCGAGGGCCCACTGGCCGCTGGGAAACTCCTAGGCAGCAGAGGTCAGGGAAACTTCCTGTGTGCTGTTCAGTGACCTGAGCCCAGGTGAGTCGGGCTGCCTCTCTAGCAGTGTACCTGGCACATCTGCCTTTGACCTCGGCCTCCCTCATTTGCTTCCTAGCCCATTACCTTTGGGGAGACTCTGATGCTTTTGCAAACTTCTTTGCAGTTTCTGGGAAAAGGCTGATCGTGTAGATTGTTCCAAGGCACAGTGGGCAAAGCTCTTTGTGGGTCACACACAGCGGTTTTCTACTTCCCAACATCAATCTTTCCCCCTTATTAGCATTCCTTTCTTTAAAGAGGTAGTCCATTAGCCTTGACCCTAAAAGGTCTAGAAGTCCTGGATGATAAATATATGCTCTAAAGATACTTGATCCAAATGGTCATTTATATATATAAATGGATTCAATTTTAGTGGCAGTTTAAAGAGACTAGGGTAACTTAATCATCACGGGGTGATAGGCTTTGGAAAAGCTGTCAATTAACCTAAACCTTAGAAACACTGACTATCCCTGCACTTCGCTTCTCAGACCCAGCTGTGCCACGAGGGTCAAGCTGCTTGGCTGTGAGTTTTGGTTTCCCAGCATTTCCTTGATCTCACTTGAGATCTTCTGTTTGAGCCTCTCTGAATTCCCCCATGGTGCTGGTACGCTGGGCCTCAGAGCAGCCCTAGGCCTTGGTTCCTTCACTTATTATTCTTGCTTTCAGAGTGAACCCTCAGCTTTCCTCGAATAGGTTTTGAAGTCCAAGAAAGAGCACCTGCCATTGGGGGAGCACTGGATAGGAGCAGGGCTGCCCTTGAAGCATAGCACCTGTATCACAGGAAGCTGGATGAGCGGATCCTGCCTCTTTGCTTCTGCTTTTTCTCTCTGAATGTGGCTGCTAAGGTAGAATGAGCCCCTGGCCCATGGTTGCCCCTCTTCTGGCCAGCACCAGGCACATAGTCTGCCTGAGATAGACCCTCTTGGGGCCTTCAGAAGCAACAGGGGAAGTAAATGTTGCTTTGTGTTACATGAATTCTAGGGAGAAGAGGGGGCAGGCTTTAGGGTAAAATGGAGAAAGAGGACACTACAGCATTACAAGATGTACAGATGGCTTCAGGGGCAGTGAAAAGCATACCTGGGAGCTGTTGACACATTTTCACAAAATTAAGAATAGATCCCTTCACTGCCAGGGACACCCCACCTCTCCACTGGGCTCTACCTGTCCCAGCCTGGGCACTACCCACTCAGACACCCTGTGTATGCCCCAGTGCCACAGGGCCCCTGAGGGGTTTAATGGTAGAGAGATATGACCTAGAAGAGGGAAATTCAGATTTTATTTGAATTTCATTGCCTTTTCTATTTATGTCCTTTTTCTGCACCCAGGATACCCATTACATTAGTAGAAGATATCTTTTCAAGCTTAAAAATCTTTATTGTTTTTTCTGTGATAGGAAGGGGAAGGGAAAAGAGACTAAGTGTGTATATATGTGTGTAATACAAAGAACATTAAAATAAAATTTTCACTTCTTTTTTTATAGTGCATGCTAGGCAAGTACTGTACCACTGAGCTACACCCGCCTAGCCCAAATTAAAATAAGTTTTAAGAGTCAAATCATTGAAGAGTTTATGATTCAGAGAGGGTTGCAGCTTTTTAAAGAAGGGAGTAAGCAGACGCAGTTCTTTGCCACTTCTTTTTCTGACACATAGAGCATCCATTGTTACCCAAAGCAGTTTACGGAGGATTGTGTCCAACCTCCAGTGAGCCCCCCGCCCCCAGCCACCTCTTCTGAAGCCCATTTGCCACATCAGCAGTGACAGGTCCAGACAAGACTGTCCATGTGTCCGTGTGCTACTTGCAATTATGTTGAGATGTTTGATTTTTGCAAAAATCTTGAAGGAACAGGAGCCAAACTAGTAATAATAATAAAAAAGTAGATCACTCAAAGATTTTCCAGCCAGATATGCTTGATAAATTGGCTAGTGGAACCACAGACTGAGGATACTGCATTAGGATTTGCTGCACATTTGCTGTGTGACCTTGGGCCAGTTTCTGATGATCCTCTGTGTTCCAGGGTGGATGGGTCAGGGGCTGTCCAAGGTCCTTTCCAGCCCAGAGTCTGATGTGTTTGGCGGGTGCTACGCAGAAGGCATACAGAATGTCTAATGTGCTGTTTTCTTGTTCTTTTGAAATTTGCCTTCCTTTAAGGCCAAGATAGTTGGCTAAGGACTGGGAGATGAGACTCTTGGCAACCTTGCATAGCATCGTACTAAATCAGGAAATTAATAGGTTACGTGCTGTACTGATGAGGGCTGGACTGCTGGATCTCAACCCGAGACCTCCAACCCTGGTGCTCTTCAGGAGCGGGTGAGAAATGACAGTAGGATTCAGGCACAAACAGCACCACCTCAGGAATATACAAATTGAAATTCACTTACCCGCCTGCTTTCTCAGTCCCCAGGCTATGTGGATAGCACCTCAGGCTAACCAGGTGCCCCTGGGATGTGTGTATGTCTGCGTGTGTTTCAAATATCAAACAGCTTCATTACAGTCTCAGAAGTCCCACAGGTAAATCCAGGGAGCATATTAAAATTTAAAATGTTCCAGAAGTTAAAAACTATTGCCGGCCCTTTCATTTAATTAGAGTTATCATACCTTCCCTTCCTTTGCATAATAACCCGGGACAAATCTGTCTGGATTAATATGAGTCATTATATTTGGTTCAGCAGGTTCTAAACGACACATTTGTCATTTTAGCACCATACATGGTTAGCTGAAGCCATTACAAATGATTCCCATTTCCAGCTTCGTGTGTGGTGTGTGGTGTCTCACCTTGGTCCCATTCCGGTACTCCCAACAGGGAACCTTCGACACATACAGGCTCTCCTCTGCATTCACTTTCGGGTCCATCCCATGAGTCATGTCAGCAATGACACATAGAAAGACCCCTGTTTATAAACCCTTGATTGACTAGATTTTTGGCTGCTGCACATGCAGAGTTCATGATGTACACTGATATACTCCTTCAGTTTAGTCTTACATATTTATTTAGCTCAAGCTGACACTCAGAGCTTTAGAAAATTATGACACCTATGTAGGACCAAATCCTCTTCCAACTGGTTGTTTACTGCTCAAATCAAAGAAGCATTTAGCAGGGTGGAAGACAGTGCCTTTATTTTATTTTTTTAAGAATTGATATTTTTAGAGAAGATTCTTGCCTCCAGAGTTGAAGCTGGACACGAAAGGGACATATCCTCACCCCAGTGCTTGCTTCTGGTTTCTTCATCATTCCTCTCTGCTGTCAAACCCGGTGTTATTTATTACTTGCCATAGATTCATCATTTGGTTGGAGCTGCAGAGAGAAGTGTGATCCTTTAACCTCCAGCCAATGGGATTGTGAGTGTGTTGTTGCTTCCCACTTCTGCCTGCCTCCAGCCACACAGTCTGCACACACCTGTCAAGTGCACACAGCCCCTGGTGAGTGTGTCTGTCTGCTCACGCTCGCAGCACATGAACAGCTCCTCGGGTCTTAATCTTCTCTCCACCCTGCAAAGGGCTTTGAACCAAAGCAGGCATGCACAGGGGATTAGGCTCCAACTAGCTGGCTACCAGGCTTCTTTCATAGCCTAGAAGAGCAGCTTTTGGTCTCACAGCTCAGGGACCCCAGACTACTTCCCAGCCAAGACCAGAGAATCTGATTAGAAGGAATGACATTAAGTGGCTAGAGGTGGCTGGAGGCTGAAATATAAATCTTTCCAAATGGATTCTTTTTCTTTCCTTTTTTTTTTAAACCCTCAAGCAATAATCTAATATTAACTCTAAGCTCACGCGGACATCTAATTGTGCCGAAGGGTAGGGGTGCTTGCGTTTCTGGGCTGTGACATTTGCCTTTTGCTCCAACAGCCTAGCAGGTAGAAAGAGTGCACCATAGGAAGCAAACTCTCTCTCCCGTTCTTCCCTTGTGTATTCCTGGTACAGCTGCAGGAAGCAGCACCATGGGGCCAGAGGGCTTATGGGCAGAGGTGGTGGTTCCAGGTGATGT